CCTTTGGGCATGAGAAGTGTGGTGACTATTTACTTTTCCATTTGGAAACTTCTCTTGGCGATGGTGTTCGAGCCTTCTTGTATTTTATGGTTCTTGCCTATTGTTTTATTGGATTGTCAGCTATAACTGCTCGATTTTTCCTGTCCATGGAAAATGTTGTTAAGCATACTCGGGCTGTGGTGGTGGAGATAGATCCTTGCACAAACAAGAAAATAGTTAGTTATGAAAAGGTGTGGAATTACACAATTGCAGATATCACTTTGCTGGAATTTGGGACTAGCTTTCCGCAGATCTCCTTAGCTACAATTGATGCAATACGAAACATTGGAAACTTTTATGCTGGAGGTGTGTTCTGAGTTTTGTTTCTATGCACAAAATGTTTGCTATGTTCCTATTATTTGTTTTCTCATCATTCATAATATGGATGTAACTCCGAGGTTTTTTCGTTAGTTTGTTTTGTTTTTCCAAGTAAGAACCGATGCATTTGAAACTGGATAATTATTATCCTCCGTCGCAGTTTATATGGCACTCTTTCCATTTTGGGACTTCCGAATTGTTTGACATTATTCTACTTATAGTATTAACAACTTTTACAAGTTTGAATAAATAGATTACTTATCTGATTAAATTTAAGTTTTTTATATGATGCTTTTTTATATCAAACTGACTAATTTCTTTGCTGTTTTCTTCCAAACTATTTAAATACTATAAATTGGGAAGGAGGAAGTGTTAACTCATTGCAAGCAACGTTTCATTATGTTGGTTTTATGCAAATAATCTGTACACATAAGGCCAGTTGTAAGATTGTTATGCAAAGGTATCCTCTTTCCTTAAGCTTACTTGCATATTTATATGTAAATGCTTATCTCCCTCAAATATGCTGGTTATTGGTTTTTCCTTTTCTGGGGTTTCTTTTGGTTCTTTTCCCCTAAAAGTTTGAGTTTACTGCTTTCGTCGCATTTCTGCATGTTTTAGTATATATATCAAATGGATTACTCTCTCTATTGAATTTGGTCTCCTTTTTCCTTCAAGATATCCTACTTTGCACTTGTAAAATTTTCCAACTTCCCATGTCAGCAAGTGCTGCATTCTTTCTTGTATGCAAACTTATACGCTCTATCCGACTGCATTATATTGAGAAGTTTTAGCCGTCTCCATTTTCCCTTAGTTTGTTCAAATCTCTGGTCCTGTTAAAATCCACTGCGAACTTGCTTTACTGATATTGAAGAACATGCTCGAGAGATGTCCCCCACACTCTTCCACCTTTCTTTTAGAGTAAGCTAACATGTTTTGCAGAAATAGTTGACCATCTGATGATTGATTATTCTGTTGAGATAATTTCTTGATTATTTCCATGTTTCATCCCTTTCTAATCTCCAGAAACTGACTGAATCTCTTCTAACCATTGTTATCTTGCTGATAATACATTGTGTTTTTTGACTCGGGCTAATAGGTTTGGGTCCGGGAACCCTTATTGGCTCCGCTGCTTTTGATCTATTCCCGATACATGCTGTTTGTGTGGTGGTTCCTAAAGCTGGAGAGTTGAAAAGGATTGAAGACATTGGAGTTTGGCTTGTAGAGCTATTCTGGTCTTTCTGGGCCTACATCTGGCTTTACTTTATTTTAGAGGTTATCTACATTTTCTTTGTTAAACTTTGGAAAGTCATTCTCTACTATCTGGTTTGCCTCTTAAGGTTGAAATGTCAATGGTCTAATAGTGGAATGGTATCATATCCTAATCCTTTTTCAGTTTTTGACAGAAAAATTAGGAATCATGTAATAACATCATGTTGTTGAACACTATTGATTTTGTAGGTGTGGAGTCCAAATGTTGTAACTCTATGGGAGTCTATTTTAACAGCGTTGCAATTTGGGCTCTTGCTACTACATGCCTACGCACAGGACAAGCGTTGGCCCTATTTATCCCTTCCTCTGTTTGTTTTTTTCGTTTGTTATCATTAAGTTGTAATTTCCTTATTCCCTTTTCATGTTTGTTTCATCTTAATTTTGCATGGATAAATCCCCTAAATTCTGCACTTGATGTTTTCTGCATATTTCAGAGCGAAAGGTGAGAGACCAGAGGAGTGGGTGCCTGCTGAGGAAGCTGTATACCAACCTTTTCGTGATCAATGCTCTGAAATAGTTCAACTTGGTGAAGAAGAAAATGGAAGAATGGCTGATATTTTCTCTACTCATTCAGGAGATGGGACAGGTAATTTTTAGAAAGAAATACTTCTTTACGCTTGGATGTTCGCCATTATTCTTGGCAAATAAGATGTTAAGAGAAACTCTAGAGATCGTATATAAATTCTGCATAACAAGCATGAAAAAAGACGATGGTGGGTGAGGAGCGCTTAAAGTGAACAAGAGCAAACTGTTGTGCCGTAAGAAATGGTGATATTTTAGGTTTTTGGACAATGTTAAGAATCTCACATTGGTTGAGGAAATAAGCTGTCTCCTGGTCTTAGATAATCCTCATCTAGTGAGCTTATTTTTGGGGTTGAGTTAGCCCCAAGCTTCATTATCTTAACATGACATCAAAGCCAGACTCATCCCTATACTTAGTCTACCCAATGTTGGGTCCCATGTTACAATGTTCATGCACCAAATGTCCACTCCTGGGAGTGCGGTGGGTGTTAAGTGTCCCACATTAGTTGCGGGAATGTGTTGTTGTCTCCTTATATTGTCTTGGACAACATTCATTCTTAACACACGTACAACATATATGCGAGTGAAGATTTTATGTGATAAAAGATTTGTGGTAGACTATCAGTTCCAGATATCGAGAGGAAGGATATGACCCTCCAATTTTATTTTGGTGTCATGCTTTTGGTTGCTATATCTGATAGGTCCTTGCTTATCAAAATTTGCCTGGTGCAAAATGTAGGCAAATCATCATCTCAGCTCTGTAATGCCAAGATCCTCTCTGAAGAATTTCATGCCCTATCTATTTGGAAGAATCAATTTTTAGATGCAATCACGGTACTGTTTACTGATGTTGTACTATTCTTCTTTATTTGATTTCATCAGTGATTAAAATGTTACCCTGACACTGAAATGTTAGTGTCTATGTTAAAGTAGAAACAATTCTTACTTGCCATGACTACTGACACTACTTTGCTTAATTTCTATTGCTGTCTGCTACTTAGGCTTGAATTACATGTATCTGTCCAAGTGAAAGCAATTTTTGAGGGGGTAAGAGTCCTACTCTTTTTAGTCCCCTTTCCTTTCTGTGGGGGAATTGGTGGGTGTTCCATTTGTTTAAATCTTCAGTTATTTGCTTATTACCCTCTTCTGTAAAATCCGGAATCTGTCTCTGATGATAGGTTCTTTTTTGTTTCTTCTGTTGACATATTGAAATTGTTTTAGCTATATTTTGTGTTGTTACTTTCAAAACATCATGAACTTAGGTAGACAAAAAAGGAGAAAAGAAAGGGATAAAACTTAGACCTTTCACTAGTGAGACTAATCTAGTGCAAGAACTACTTTCTATCTGTTCTTTTATCTTTCTTTTGTTGTAATAGATTGTTTCATATCCTTACAAACTGAAATTCAAGTTTCTTGTTTTCAAGATTTGNGGGGGGTTTGGTGGGGGTGTTTGCAACTCTTTCAACAGTTGGGAAGTGCAGAATCCAGAAAATTGAACAATAAATACCTACGGATTGCAAGAATTGTTTGACAGTCCCTTCTCACACCATGGAGACTTCTTTTTGCGTTTGTGCCTCTGTGTCACATTGCCCATGGCTGGATTGCTTTCATTTGTTCTTTGATCTTCATCAGTGGAATAACTTATGGTGTAACAAAGCTCTCCCATCAGATAAGCTGCGTCACAGGTCTAGACTAACTGCAATTTCATTGTCATAAAGTTTACTCTGTCTATAAACTTTCTGGACCTGAAATTTGATCTGTACACAACTTACCTGCAGGAATAAGTCCTTATGCCATTGCATTCACGGCGTTGGCTGCTGGAACTTCATGACCTGATCTTGTGGCGAGCAAAATTGCTGCACAACGGCAGATGACAGCTGACTCTGCCATTGCTAACATCACCTGCAGGTTTCTTCAACTACTACGTCCTTATCCTGTGAAATTAATTAGTTGCCTGAGAGCAAAGATATCTTGCGGAGTTGCTTTCATTTATTTGTAACCTTATTCATATAAATAAATGAAAACTTTCAGTAACTGGCCTAAATATTTCCATGATCTCTACCGCCAAAACCAGGCTACTGTGTCAGAAGTGTGTACTTGTCTATTTTCATGCCTTGAACTTGAGACTCGACTCAATTGTCTTATGAAAACTCTGGGTATTTGAGTTCCTAACGTACTTACATCCTTCCACTCTTCTTCCTCGTAGCAATTCAGTGAACATTTGCGTAGGCATTGGTCTGCCCTGGCTCATTGACACACTGTACAACTACATCGCATACAATGAACCACTGCGAGTAGAGAATGCAGAAGGACTAAGTTTCACTTTGCTTGTTTTCTTCTCCACTTCTGTTGGCTGTATTGGTGTTTTGGTATTCAGGCGACTGACTTTGGGTGCTGAGCTTGGTGGACCATAACCTTGGGCATGGGTGACCTGTGTGTATTTCATGTTGTTATGGCTTGTATTTGTTGTGCTATCATCTCTTAAGAGTTTCTGGTGTCATCTAGTCTGAAGTTGGAGTTGCCCAACTTATGGCTAGTTTTAAGCACTTTTTAACTTATTTTAAGCATATTTTAATATTGCCAAACACTGAAAAAAGCTAAAAATAGCTTAAGAGCTGGTTTGACCAGACAGCATGTTTTGGGGAACCATGTTTCACACACACTGAAACATTGAACATATATTTCCTCAAGTGTTTTCTCCGTTGTGCCTGTTCTTAAGTTAATGAGAACTAATATTTTCTTCAATTGCATGCCACATTTACTTGTTTAAAGAATGCTCATCCAGGAATGTTTGATAGTATATCTGCTTCAACTATCGATCAAATAAAAGAACTTATAAGACGGTAAGGCAATGGCGGCGAATTCTTCCATATCCAACACTTATTGTCTAGATAAAATATATCATTGATGAATACTTCAATCTCAAGACAATCCAACTCTAAATTCTACGGCTAAACTTCTGGAAAGAATCATCAACATACAAAAAGGAAACCTCCATTCTCCTCTTGGAATAGACCATCCTCAAGCAGCAGCTCCTACACAAGCAGTAACTGGCACAGCACTATTTTGTTTTGCAGCACTATATTTCTTGGTGATGAATCTAGCAGATCATAGAACAAGACGTTATTAAAAAGTAATAAAATATATGGTATAAGCTCAATAAGATTCAGAGTGACACATTGCTGTCATGAAAGGCTTCCCCACAACACTAAAGGGTGCGAATTGTCATAAAGTGTGGGATGAATATAACACTTAACACTGAATAGAAGTGAAACAAGCTCAACGGTTGTAGGAGCTAAGCTACATGCTATATTACCTGAAAAAATCCCTCCATAACAGCTCATACATCAGCCAGTTCAGTCCAGTGCCACTACCACCATCTTTCTGGCTAGAGGCAGCAGAAATCGTTCTGCACACAAAGTACCAATGAAGTGTTGACCAGTTATACCAGTCTCATAGACTTTAGTATCAGGATAAGAATTAAACTATTAATCAGACAATACCTTGAAGTGGACTTTTTCAATTCATCAAACATGGAACGAGGAGAGAGACATCCCATAGCGAGCCAAGGAGATATTTTGCAAGAAAAGTTTGCACCATATATGCTGTCAGTAGTGCCATCTTTGTTTTCCTTATTTGGTTGGGCTTGACATTCGGCTGCAAATTTTCTGAGTCTCTGCAGTGCTTCATTCTCTCCTCCCACAAGGGAAGCATTAGCAGCTGGTTTTCCATTCTAAATGAGGAGCAAATGCAAATGTTTTAAGTATACCAAGATAAAGAAATGTTTATCTTTGTCGTGGTTTGCTAAGTAACTGAAACAAATCAACTTTGTCTGAATCGTTTGTGATGTTAAAACAACTTACAATTTCTAAGTTTAAATACAGCATGAGAGCTACAATTTCAAGTCAGTGAAATATGGAACAGTTTTTTAAGTGATTACGCACGGTGCATGTAGGTAATACTTAAAAGCAACCTCCAAACATTACTCCCTAAAGAAGGTTCTTTCCAGATTACATTTCGAGCCAGCAAATAAAAGTTGTTTGGTGTGCTGTGTCCTGGTTGGTGACCAGATAATAAGAAGTTCATCATTATATTGATCAACAAATTGCCAAAGCTATGAGCTTGATATTTCAGTACACAGTACTAGTCCATACAAGGATACTACAAGTAGAGCGAGGGTAATTTAACTTACTGATGCTCAAATGCCAAACACTAAACCTACTTAAACATGGGGTTAACTCTTATAATGTTCACAATACAAGAGATGCATTGCATTAAACCATCAAATATTTCTGACTTGAATCACTTCCACTCTGTTATAAAAAAGGACTCTTGATCGTCTCTATCACTTAAAATGAAGTAGCTAAGAAACAGAAAGCAATGTGAAACTAAAGAACAACAACTATACCTCAATCTCAAACTAGTTGGATTCAAGTATTAAAAAATAAAACTAGTTGAATTCAACAATCTGAATTCTTACCATCCGCTATACTACATCTGAACCCGTGACATTCCAATACTCAATAAGAATTAATCGTTTAAGTCAAAATTTGTCCTTTAAGCAAATTAGGAGTTCTCAAACAACAGAAGTTCTCTACATTTTCTAGATACCAATGTAAAACTTGTTTCATTCCATAACAACTAAAACTGGTTTCATTCCAATACTAAATTATCTGTCTTAGGCGTTCTCTACATTTTCTACCGATCAATTTGAAATTAAAAACCGAGCAAAATAATAATACCTGACCCAGGGTGGTGCTCGGATTGAGGCCCAAATCAACCAAAGAAGGAATCTCCCCAGTTTCCACATCACCTCTGGCAGGCAATCCCCTCAACTGATCCAATGCCTCGATCGTCTTCCTTACCTCCAATCCTTGCACTTTTTCTCTAAACCCTCCGTAATTCGTTGGCATTTCCTCCAACTTAAAAGGCAAATCATCAACATGGTACAATGTACTACCCCAAAAATACTTAACCTCCACTCCCTCATCCTTCATTACACTCTCAATCTTATCTTCCCCTTTAACCTCATCATACGAAACTTCTCTATGAGCATACACTGCTTCAGCTCCCACAGCTTTAGCTAATTCAACCAACACAGTCTCTGGTTTTCCAATTCTAACAACAAGATCAGACCCTCTTGCCTGTAAATTCTTCCTAAGGTCAGTGACGGATTCAATCAGGAAACTAGCGCGATATGGACCGGTTTTATCAAACCCAGATGAGGATTTACCGTAATCTCTCGGGTCAAAACAGTAAACGGGTAAAACAGACATGGACTCATTGTGGGCAGCGTTGAGGGACTCGTTGTCGTGGACACGGAGATCGTTACGGAACCAAACAATGGATGCTCGTCGAAGGCCTGCGGCATTAGAGGGCTCAGAAGGGCGAAGTGGGTTTAGAGTGAGAGAATCCTGAAGTGGGTTCGCGGAGAAGGTTGACTTGAAGTTGGATTTTGTAGGAGGAGGGAGGGAAGCTGAAGCTGAAAGAGAAAGATTCGAAAGAGATGAAATTTGGGTTGGGATTTTAACTTTGTTGGGTCTGAAAAGGGTGGAGGAGATTTTGGGAGGAATAAGGAAGTGGGTGGGGAGAATTGTAGAGAGAGAAAGTGAGATGGAGGCTATGGGTAGAGGTGGACATGGGACAAGTTGTTGGTCTTCTTGAGGTGTTTGGTTTTCTGGGTTGTCTGAAGATTGGTTCTTGGAATCCATTTTCAGGAAATGAAACAGAAGGAGAAGGAGAAGAAGATGATGATGATAAGGGATGGGTTTATGTCCTCCAAAGAATTTGTTGGTCTTGTTTAATCTGGTGCAGTATTTTGCCAGTATGGTTTATTATGCACAAAGTCTTGTCTCGTTGTGTTTTGCTCGTGTTAGGTTTGTGAGTTTTTATTTTAGAGGTTGGTGGAATAGTGAGTATTAAGTTGTTGTCTGCGATTAATCACTATTTTGGTTAGAGCCCGAGCTTACATTTTCCTTACCTAATTTTGCGCCCAAATTGGGGCCTGGAGGGGAGTTGGTAAAGGCCTTGGGGAGAGTAGGTGTTTCGAGTAAAAATTGTCCAGGGTAGCCACCGTTTATTTACTTTTTAAAGTCTATTAAAATTAATATGAAAAACGGCGTTACCCTTTCTTCTATCTCTTTTCCTTCCCAAAAGAGCAGTTCATATTCATGCGGCTCAAAATAGCCTTGCAACTGAAGGTTACGTTCTGAAAAGCAAAAAAATATCATGGGGCAAAGTAAAACTAATTAAGAGACCCAAGTTCAATAAGCATTACCTTAACCAAAACCAAAAGTATAATTCCAAAGGTTCATATCAGATTAAAATTTGTTTTGTGATTAAGAACACCTTCACCCAAATTTCAATATCTACATAGGTTAGATCCAACAATTATTCATCGTCACTTGGTCCTGAAGTTAGAGTTGGAAGTTCAAAAATTAAGGATAGGTAGTCCTTAAGTTAGAGTTACAAGCACATAAATTAAGGACAGGTAATCCTGAATTTAGAGTTCCAAGTTAAAAATATAAGGATATGTAGTCCTGAACTTAGAGTTACAAGTTCAAAAGTTAAGGACAGGTTGTCCTAAACTTAGAGTTACAAGTTCAAAAGTTAAGGACAGGTTGTCCTAAACTTAGAGTTACAAGCTCAAAAACTAAGGACATGTAATCCTTAACTTAGACTTACAAGCTCATAAATTAAGGACATCCAGTCCTGAACTTACAGTAACAAGCTCATAAGTTAAGGACACTTGGTCCTGAACTTAGAGTTGGAAGTTCAAAAATTAAGGACACTTGGTCCTTTACTTAGAGTTACAAGCACAGAAATTAAGGACGAGTAGTCCTAAACTTAGACTTACAAGCTCATAAATTAAGGACAGCTAGTCCTGAACTTACAGTAACAAGCTCATAAGTTAAGGACACTTGGTCCTGAACTTAGAGTTGGAAGTTCAAAAATCAAGGACACTTAGTCCTTAACTTAGAGTTACAAGTTCAAAAGTTAAGGACGGGTAGTCCTAAACTTAGACTTACAAGCTCATAAATTAAGGACAGCTAGTCCTGAACTTACAGTAACAAGCTCATAAGTTAAGGACACTTGGTCCTAAACTTAGAGTTGGAAGGTCAAAAATCAAGGACACTTGGTCCTTAACTTAGAGTTACAAGCACAGAAATTAAGGACAGATAGTCCTTAACTTAGAGTTACAAGCACAGAAATTAAGGACACGTAGTCCTGAATTTCGAGTTCCAAGTTCAAAAGTTAAGGACACGTAGTCCTGAACTTAGAGTTACAAGTTCAAAAGTTAAGGACACTTGGTCCTGAACTTTTATGAGCAGAAGGGTATTTTCGTCCAGGCGGGTAAAATTTTTTAAAGCAATGGCTAAAGACTAAAGACATTTTAAACAGTGGATTAAAAGTAAATACATGTCTTATTAGTGGTTAACTGTGCACTTCCCCTGTGTTTCAACATTAAATATGTGAGATTTGAAATAAGTAATTTTTGAAGTTAAGTTGAAAACGAAAGTAAAATTTGAAATTGTATTTGAATATGCTTCACTTTAAGCAGTTTTACGAAGGAAAACACTGTTTACTTGAAAGGTGATAAACTACTTTTTCAAACTTGAAGCTCAACTTCAAAAGTTTTTGAAACTCATCTGTATAACCAAACAACGTTTTGAAAATGAGTTTAAAAAAGAAAAGAAAAAATTCTTATAGACAAACATATCCTAAACTGATTTTTTCTAGGTTATTAAGCTTGAATAGATGGAAAGAAATCATCTAAAAACTTGTCTTTATTAAAATTTAAACCTTGATCTTTCATGATTTTTACCAACTTTCATTAACCACTTGTGCTACTTCAAATCTTATGATTGAACAAGCCCTCCCCCATCTTATGTTCTTCTTCCTTCTCCATCCCTCTTATTTGATCTATACGGTCAAATACCTTTTGCACTCATGTAACCAGAAGGTCACGGGTTCGAACCGTAGAAACAGCCTCTTGCAGAAATGCAAAGTAAGGCTGCGTACAATAGACCCTTGTGGTCCGAGATCCTTCCCCGGACATAGCGGAAGTTTAGTGCACCGGACTGCCCTTTTTTTTTTTACGGTCAAATACATAGCATCTTTCTCTTGTTTTCAGAGATTCAAAATAATGCACCANNGGGGGGGGGGGGGGGGGGAACGTAATTCACCACGAAAAGACAGTAGAGGAGAACAGGAAAGGGTAGCACTACCGCCCAAGTCTTGTAAGAAAATGATCAGCCAGCTAACAGCATGACCTCATTTTGAAACATGAAACTCAAGCAGATAGTTCACAGTCCAAAGACAGATAGTCCTCCAATTTCTTCTCGAAATCCTATTTAATAAAAAATTCCCCAAATTGATTAATAAAATGTGATTGAATTCTTGTGTAGCAATTAAACGTTGATGTCACTCGTTCTCCTCTTTTCAATTCCAGTGAACAACATGAACTTGACCTATCATTTGACTTATCCAAGTTTGAAAAGCTTTATACTGCGTTATCAACACTGAATTCATCACATAACCAATATAACATAAGCCATCACATTATATTGGGTGGCTTTTAAAAGAAGAAATTATCACTGCAGAACAGATGCGGGTGGCTGAGGTCTGACAATATTGAGCACCCCTCTTGCTTTTGCCTGTAGATAAATTTTTAAAAGTAATATAAATAAAATAAGCAAATAAATATGAAGCTTCCATGTTACTCCAGAAGAGATTTACCTCAAAGAAGGAATTGAAATTGAGTCTCAAAAGAAATTGCCTAAGGAATGGGGCTCTCTGGCTCCCAGCAAGCCTGCTACTTCGGAGTATTGTATACAGGGAGTTTGATTTCTTGTTGAACTCCTGAGACGTCATAAGAAATAAGAATTATTGCAGCAGGAACCGATCCACGCAATAAATAATTCAAAATAGTGATCATCGACCATAGAGGGGAGAAAAAAATCACCTTCAAATACTTAAGTCAAAATAAGATTTCATCATTCACAAGTAATAAGTTCTTCAACGAACAAAAGCCACAGAAAATCTAGTGCGGGAAACTAATTTATCTGTCACGGTATAGTTTACATCATAGTAATAGTGATGATAACCAAATTAGGTCACACCACATCTTTGTCAGCACTCATTAGTCAGATAAGTTGAGGTTAGTGGTGGCAAACAGGTGGGTCGGATATGGCCGGGTCGAACACGGGTAATACAAAAACGAATATAATATCCGAGCCGACCCATATTTAATACGGATAGAAAATGGATTAACCGGCGGATAATATGGATGACTTCTTGAACATGGTCACTTTTGGGAGAATTCCTACTCTCCCAAACTTGAGGAATCTCCATTTTTATATCTTTGCAAATGTAAAAGTTAAACTCATTGATTATCCATTATTTAAGTGGATAATATGGATCTTATCCATATTTGACCCATTTTTAAAAAGTTCATTATCCAATCCATTGCCACCACTAATTGAAGTAATCAAGTGTTAGAAGCTGGAGAATGACAAGCGACCAAAACATCAAAGAAAAGACGCCTTGGCTTCTATTAAAGAGTATATTTACATGAAGAACGTCAGAGGTGGTGAGCAAAGGGCAAAGCATTTTGACCCAATTTGTGTATGGAAAATTCTTGCTTCTTAGTGATGAATTTGAATGGACCAGCCATCAGTCATTCTCTGGACATGTTTTCCTTGACTATCATTAGAAAATGAAAACACTAGAAGCATAAATCAACTCAAAAGTACCTCAGCTATGTGCTCCAGCTCCTTAGTACTTCTATTGCTTTCATCACTTTCGATCTTCCAACAGAACTGCAAGCATAGTTTCATTATTCCATCCAGAATTCTTGAGACAGAACCGATGTCCAAGAAAGATTGTGAAATCAGCGCAGCCAAGTAACTGAAAAACAACCCAACGTCCATCAACTTTTTATATCAAAGAACAAGCAGCAATCACAAGATAAGAGTAGCAATGACATAGTAATCTTGCCAATATTGAAACTAAGGGCAGCCCGGTGCACGAAGCATCCAGCATTACTGAAAAAACTACTAGAAGTTCAATACTATGAGAACTAAGGTGCGGTAGTCTCATCTCTCAGGACAACAAACAAGTCACCAATATACGCAAACAAATTTTTTTATACACTTCTAACTTATGTCGTAAAATTTTGCTTATGTTTTTTGCTTCTGTGTGAAAGCTTACGGCGGTGGTTATGCAACAGTCTTCACATTGCAAAATGTAGTTCAAAAACAGACAACCTATATCTGAAATAGAATGTCCCAGAGATAAAAAATAGCAAACTACAAGTCTACAGCTTAGATTGGTAATGATGATCACGTTCTAGTAGCTCCATTTCATTAACAATATGATATAATTGCAGATTAATGTTTCAAGAACAAATTAGTGGTGATAATCTTTGACAATATACACCTGAAAAGGACGACAAAAATCTAAGAAGCATAGAGCAACAGTGTAGAACTAGGAAACTTCAATAATGCATACAAATTTTAAATTCCGAAAGGCACTGATAGCAGCAGTTGCAATCACTTTTCAATAGTTACAGGCAGCATAGTACATGTCAAAATGTCCAATTACTTACTCTTGATGGAAGCCCACAAGTTCCGTGAAATCTTGAGAATTCTGAATATGAGATTGCAAAATGTTCCATTGAGATTCTATCACATCCACCTGAGAAAATAAATGTGTTTTTAGGTTTTTGCAAAGACATTATGGCGGAAGACAACAAAGAGACAAGACTTTCAAGGTTGTCTAACAGAGAACTTTCTTGTGATTGCTTCACCAACTACCGATTTAAGAATTAGAATCACAACTTTAATGGTGATGGACTATGACATGTTCTTTCATATAAATTAGTAAAGTTGTTTCCAATTAAGTTGAAGAAAATAAAATTGTGACTTTTCACATCATATGTGTGAGAATGCACGGGAGAAAAATTTATATTATTGA